AAATGTGCAATCAAGGAAGATGTCACAGAAGTAAGTTTTCTCCATTATGTGTCTTGGTCTAATGTGGCCTCATGGTAAATTTTTGGTATTAACCTTGCACCAGGAAAAAAACAAGCAGCATGCAGAAGCTACTCTGCAGCACCACTAGGCCGGTGCAACTTTGTCAACATAGCCACAAGTCAACATAAATAGCCACTAAATTCTACAAAACTGCTAACTTCCAACTGTACTTTATTTTTTATTTATTGTCTTTCGTTAGATTTTGCCTATAAATAGCCATGTTCTCACCATTGTACGTATCAAGTTTTAATCCAAAATTTCAGTTATATTTCTCCTCTGTTGAGTGAGTTTTTTGGGAGTAGATTCTCTCAATTTATCTCTGTATCTTAGGTCTTGCCGACCTAAGTGGTGAACCTGGCAATCGAATTCATCGTAGTGGGATTCTAAATCTCACCAAAATCGGTGTTTTGGTATCGGCTCCTACGCCATTTGGTATCAAAGCCAATATATTTGGAGTCTGAACGTCATTTTGAGCGTTCTGGTGAAAATCCGGTCGACAAAAAAGTCGCATGCGCCTCCACGCGCCACCGCCGTTGTCTCACGCGCCGGCCACTCGCACCACTGCAAATCGTGTGAAAGTCACGCGTCGGTCATCTTCAACCTCTCATTCACCACGTCGTTCGCCACGTCATCACGCGTCATCAGCTAAGTCATCGACACGTCATCACGCGTCATTAGCTACGTCATCGACACGTCATCATCCAATCACTGCCACATCATCTATTTGCCACGTTATTTGTGCCACGTCACTTGACACGTCATCAGCCACGTCATTGACACGTCATCATCCAGTCACTGCAACATCATCTATTTGCCACGTCATCAGACACGTTAGTGCCATGTCATCACCGCAGGTGCACTCTTTTACCACGTCATCAAGTCCCTAAACTTATTTTGACCTTACAGATTGATCCCATAATTTTATAAATTTCAAATTACCCCCACTTTCAAATACTAACTTTCCAAAAAGCCCCTTACCAACCTAAACTCATCATGCCTCCTAGAAGACAAAATCCTCCTCGTCAATGAGTTGTTCGGGACATAGAAATGGAAGAACTACGTCAACAAATTCAAAGGCTTCAAGAAAGACTCGAAGCTTTTGAGGGACAACAAGCTCAACACCCGCAAGATGAACCACATGAGTCAGAGGAAGACACTGATGACGAGAATCCCTTCTATCACCTAAGGGATAATGAAAGCTCATCATCAACAGGAAAAGTTCGTCGTCAACAACGTCCCCAACAAAATGCTGCTCCCAAATCCACTGACCTTGGCATCAAAATCGATATTCCTGATTTTGAAGGTCGCCTTCAACCATATGAATTTATCAACTGGTTGCATACTGTGGAACGTGTGTTTGAACTAAAGGATATTCCTGACGACAAGCGTGTGAAGTTCGTCGCCATCAAATTAAAGAAACATGCATCCATTTGGTGGGAGAATCTCAAACGCAGTCGAGAAAGAGAAGGCCGCAACAAAATTAGAACTTGGGAGAAAATGCGTCGAGAACTCACTCGTAAGTTCTTACCTGACCGTTACTACCAAGATAATTTTGTTAAATTTCATAATTTACAACAAAAATCTTTGACTGTGGAAGAATATACTATGGAGTTTGAACAATTAATGATGAAGTGTGATGTTCGAGAAAAAGAAGAGCAAACCATAGCAAGATATCTTGGAGGATTAGACAATGACATTTCCAAAGTAGTTCAACTTCAACAATATTGGACTTTGGATGATGTCATTCGGCTAGCATTGAGGGTTGAAAAGCAAATCTCAAAGAAGAATATTACTATTGCTTCAAAACCACAAGATTTTGAAGCTAGCCAAGGGACCCAAGCCTCAAAGATTGTTGCTGAGACACCTGCCAAAGTTGAGAAGGAAGCTAGTTCAAGCCATCCAGCCCAGCCTAACACTCGAAAGTGTTTCAAGTGTCAAGGATTTGGTCACATTGCCTCCGACTGTCCCAATAGGAGAATTATCACCATTATTGGAGGAGAGATTCATGAAGTCTTAGATGGTGAAGCAGAAAAGGAGATTAGTGATGAGATTAAGCCACAACTTCAGGAAGAACTCATTGCAGCTGACCATGGAGAATCTTTGGTTGTGTGTCGAAGTCCTCATGATACCATAACCAAGGATGAAGTTTGGCTCCGACATAACATCTTTCACACCAGATGTACTTCCCAGGAGAAAGCTTGCAATGTCATCATTGACAGTGGAAGTAGTGAGAATGTTGTGTCTAGTTATATGGTTGAAAAGCTAAGACTGCCAGTCAAGGATCTTTCCCATCCATACAAGTTACAATGGCTACGAAAGGGAAACGAGGTAAAGGTAACCAAACGTTGCCTTATCTCTTTTTCTATTGGTAACAGGTACCAAGACGAAGTATGGTATGATGTTATCCCCATGGATGATTGTCACTTGTTACTTGGTCGCCCCTGGCAATTTGACCGAAAGGCTATCCATGACGGCCATGCCAATACCTACTCGTTTGTAAAAGATGGTGTGAAGGTCAAGCTCACTCCCCTGAAGCCTAAAGAAACACTTGAAAAGAAGAATGAGGACAAGGCTTTAATCTCCAGATCAACCTCTCAGAAGTTGCATCAAGAATCGAGGACAGCTTGTCTCTTGCTATTATCTAAAGTGAATGATGCCACTTCCCCTTTTTTCGAGGAAATTCGATCTCTCCTTGAAGAATTTTCTAATGTTGTTCCTGATGAGACCCCTCATGGATTATAGCGAACTCAATGAAGCAAGGATTCTATCATGGTTGTATCTACAAGACTAGACTTCCAGGTGACTATGGAGTCTCTGCTAATTTTAATGTTGCTAACTTATCTCCTTACTATGAGGATCATGAGCATGGAACTCAAACTCGAGGACGAGTTTTCTCCAACTAGGGGAGAATGCACCAAGAAAAAAACAAGCAGCATGCAGAAGCTACTCTGCAGCACCACTAGGCCGGTGCAACTTTGCAACATGGCCACAAGTCAACAAAAATGGCCACTAAATTCTACAAAATTGCTAACTCCCAACTGTACTTTACTTTTCATTTATTGCCTTTTGTTAGATTTTGCCTATAAATTGCCATGTTCTCACCATTGTACGTATTAAGTTTTAATCCAAAATTTCAGTTATATTTCTCCTCTGTTGAGTGAGTTTTTTGGGAGTGGATTCTCTTAATTTATCTCTGTATCTTAGGTCTTACCAACTTAAGTGGTGAACCTGGCAATCGAATTCATCGTAGTGGGATTCTAAATCTCACCAAAATCGGTGTTTCGGTATCGGCTCCTACGCCAAACCTCCCCATGGCTACCTTGTTCAGTTAATAGGCAATACACCAATGGTCTATCTAAACAACATTGTGGATGGTTATGTGGCTCGTATTGCTGCCAAGCTAGAGATGATGGAACCTTGTTCTAGTGTTAAAGACAGGCATAGAGACATCTTCAGTTAATTGTATTTCCTTTACATCATTTCAGAAATTTTAACTACAAATTTAACAGTTGTATATTTCTTTTCCATTATGCAGGATTGCGTATAGCATGATTAAAGATGCAGAAGAAAAAGGCTTGATTACACCAGGAAAGGTATAATAGATGTTCCCATATTTGAAGGTCTTTGATATGTCTATTAAACAGATGATAAACTTTTAATTATTGCATGTTTTAACACCATCTTAATCTGCTTGGACTTCAAAAAAGTTCAATAACTTCAAAAGGATGATCTTAGATAGTTATGTAGTAGTCATGACTGCAATACATTTTTATTACAATCAAGTAAATTAAGGTTTGATACAGTTTTCATAGATTATCTAGGATTTTTCTTGCTAAAAGAAGACTTAGATCTTTATGAGGTCAAATTTGCAACATGAATAGTCTAAATATGTAACTTCTCAACTAACAATCTCACTTTGGTTATGTATCTGTTTGAATACTACTAGTTCAAGACCGTTCTCATTGAACCTACGAGTGGCAATAATGGTATTGGATTGGCATTTATAGGTGCAACAAGGGGGTATAAAGTTATTGTTGTAATGCCATCACACTATAGTATTGAGAGAAGAATTGTTCTCCAAGAAATTGGACCTGAGGTGTTTCTCACAAATCCAATGAAGGGAGTTAAGGGTATGTATGCCAAGTGTGAAGAAATACTGAATAACACACCTAATGGATACATGCTTCAGCAATTTGAAAATCCT